AATTTTCTCAGAAATGGAGAATTAAGACCATTGTGTCAGTGGTTTGGAATAGCAGGCCAAAAGGTGGATCAGGTTTAGAATTATAGCTGTATCCGCTTGATACAAATTACCTAGGAAATCATAGAACATCTATTGTTTCACAGGGTAAAATGTTAAGAACCAATTAGCTTACATGAGTGGGTTAGTTAAACTGGCAATACAGGTTTCCTAGAATTGAGCTTTGCCAAAAAGGCAGTGGTGTAGAATACTAGAATGTAGATTGTCCGTGGTATTTTCATCGCCTCATATGTGTGTGAAAGTTGGACACGGAATTAGGTAGACTGAAGAATTGAAGCATGTGGATTTTGGTGCTGGTGGATATTGGAAGTACTATGGATTCCAAAAGAATGTACAAAGCCAGAATGTCCTTAGAAGCAAGGATGGCAAGACTTTGTCTCACACACTTTGGATATGTTATCCAGAGAAACCAGTCCCTGAGAAAGGACATCATTCTTGGTAGAGGACCAGTGAAAGAGAGGAAGACCTGTGACAAGATGGATTGACACAGTGGCTGCATCAATGGATTCAAACATAAGAACAATTGTGAGGATGGCCCAGGACCAGGAAGTGTTTTGTTGCACACAGGCTCGTGATGAGTCAAACCATTCCACAGCAACACTGAAGGGAAGGGAGACTTATTTTGTAAATCGGAGATAAATAATGTGATTACTGTGAGGCCTAAATAAAATAACATAAAGCCAAAAGAACCATAACCTGGTGGGCTGATAACACTAAGTACATGTAGCTGGTAATATAATTGCTGATACTGTCTTTTATACCATGCTGCATTTTCAAAAGATTTATAAATAACCTGAAGGATTATATGGGGGTTGTTGAAATGGTTGTAAATGGAGGCCAAGTTAGTGAATTTAAATAAATTAGAAAAATAAGTGTATAAATAAAAAAGGAACAGCAATGCGAATGTGTAAAAAGAAGTTAAGGAATAAAAGATGTGGAACACTCTAAACTGGTTTAGTGGCCTGAATGAAAGAGAAAAAGGAAATCTTAGAGACTAGGTGAGAATTGAGGTGGAATAGTGAACAAATCTGGTTAAAGTGGAACCTGCTAGTACGTGTATACAGTACACATACTGTGCAGGAGTTAACTAATGGAAAACCTTCACCTCCAAGTTACTGCTTAGAAATCTATTTTTTTAATTCTATTATTCTAATCTTAAACTTCTTCCTTATTTTTTAGAGATCAAACTTGTTACAATATAATTCCACTCTACAATTCAATGAAGAAAAAAGTCCTGTCTGACTCTGAGGTATTTACTGTTTCCTTAGAATGATTAAATGTATATGACTTTGTAAGTTTCTTCCCCAAAAAAGCCATAATGGAAGTTAGTTTATTCTAATACTTTAGTTAGCATTTTAAAATGTTCAAATTTTATTAGTTATGACTTAAACAAAATGCATCAAATAATTTTTAAAAGTATAATGAAATATGAAATGTTTTATGAACCTGATAAATTTTTACTTCGAAGGAAGAAGAGAAAGATGCTGATGTGCCAGGAACTTCTACTCGCAAAAGAAAGGCAAGTAATACATTTTCTTTTATTTACTAAATGTACTTAAATGAATTAAAATACATTTAAAGCCAGATTAAAGTTTAATTATTATTCCAAATTGTTTTATATCACAAATATATCCTTTTATAGAAGCAGGTGTTTTAATTGAATTTTTATTTTAACTAGCTCTAAAACGTATTGGTGCTGTTTTGTTAATACATTTGAAAATGTTTATTAAAGGAACATCAACCCAGAAGAAGATTACGTAATAGAGCTCAGTCTTGTGATATTCAAGCGTGGAAGAAACAATGTCAACAATTGTTAAATCTCATATTTCAATGTGAAGATTCTGAGCCTTTCCGCCAGCCAGTAGATCTCCTAGAATATCCAGTAAGTACTTAAAAAATAAATAAATAAATGCCTTTATTTACCAATTTGGTAATACAGGCAACTAAGCCCAATTCAATGATAAAATTGAAAAAGACTTTTCCTAAACCTTTAAGACTCCAAATAGTTGGTTTATGGCTCTAACCTCTCCTAACCTATTTATTGAGTGATTTGGGACAATTCCTCTATTTTTCTTTGAACATTTTATTGCTTTCCTTCCTTGCATCAATTCCATGAGTGTATTATGGTGATTATCTTGGAAATAAGAATGACCACTTTCCCTCCAAGGATTATAGAGATAAGATGAGATGAAACTACTTTATCAGATGTCAGGTGCTATTATTACACATTCCGCTCATGCCAGTTTATAGCATTTATGAAATAAATGACAAAATTGCACACTTGAGTGTGTTTTTGCTTGCTGCCCTAGAAATCTCAATTTTAAAGTGATTTTTCTCCCATACCTTTAAATAGTTCAGATAGCATTTGTGGTTTCAAATGAATTAAAAATTAAATGTTCGATATATAAAGACCATGATTCAAATGTAGTATCCTCCGACTGTTTTTTGTTTTGTTCTGGGTTTTTTTCTAACATGAGGGTGCTTAAAAAATGTTGTGGAAAAATTCTTTGAATTCCATCTTTCTACGGGGATTTTGAAACAACCCCTTGTATGTTTATCTTAAGTTTAAATTAATAGATAAATATATAATTCCAGCAATGTTGATATGCTGAGCTAATTCATACCCTCCCAAAAATACCTGAAGAGCTGAGTTTAATGCTACAGTGCTCTGGTTTCCACTTCTTTCTGTATTTGGGACTTGTGGATTTCCCTTTGTTTCCTGCCTAATTTGCCTATCCTATCAAAAACAAGTGCTTATAGATGTCTATATTCTGTACCCTGTTTTTTCCTTAGAAGAGACTGAAATAATGTCTTAGTTCTAGAAGCACCAGTATCAACACTTTACAGAGATCAGTGAAACCTTCAGTCACACTAAGGAACGGTGTTGCAAACTAGGACAGTTAGAGAACTGTATCCTCTTGACATAAATATGGTAATACCTTCCATAAGGAAGAATGTCTCTGCCAGAAACTCTGGAAACAAAGGAGTGAAATTTTCTGAGCTTTGCCCTAGGCATGGTTTTAGATCCAGCTTTATCTTTACAGTGTAGGACACCCTGATGGGTACTCTCTGGGATGGCAAGCAGAATCAAGTTCTACAGAGTACCACACACAGCTCTAGAGCACAGCTTGGGAAAATCAATCCACAGAGGAATCTATAACAAGAAAAATAGAAGTCTTAGTGAAGACAAACTAATGATAAAAGAACCACAGACCACAGAGGGAGGACTGAGGTGCCATGCTTAAGACATTAGAAATACAAGTGGAAGTGCATCGTTTGTGCTTCGCTCGGCCACTGGAGGCTGACTTGCTTTGGGTGCCACCACGATAAAGGGAAAATGCTACCAGTGAACATTTGTTTTTTTTCATTTTGGCTAAAATAAATGAAGGCCTAAGAATCAAAAAAAGAAAAAGATGTAATTCGAAGGAAAGAAGGTTTAAGGAAGTTTTTGTTTTTAAATACAACTTACAGAAATAAAGTAACAAAATCATTAAAGTTGAATTAACTGTAAGTTAAGTACTCAGCTAAAGTAAGAATAATTAAGTCAGATTATGTTCATGTTTTGATTGTGTCAAAATAATTTACTTTTTGAGTTAGTCTCCATTAATTTATTCAATAGCATTTATTGAGCAGTTACTATGTACTGATACTGTACAGAAAAAAACAAAACAAAATATAAACCCACAAAATAAAGTTTGTACATCCATGTTATATTTAAATAAAGTTTATAAAGTGTTTAATTTTTTAAAATGTAATTTAATGGTGTTTTCTCAAGATGTACATAAAGCCATCTTGGAGCTAGTAACCCTCCCTTTGCAAAATAGAACTTTGTAGACAGTATAAATAAAGTGAATATAAGATGACAGATGTGGGACTTCCAAGACCTCAGTTTTATTTATGCCACTCTGGAGATTAGAGAAGTTGGCGACCCAGAAATACCAAAGATATAGACCAAAAATACTATTAAAAATTTGATAACTCTAGTTAAAAGACCAGGACGGGACAAACTTTTAAAAATCTCATAAATAGAATTCTTACTCCACCCAAACATCATAGAAAGATTAGCCTCCTCTGTTTTCTACAAGCAAAGGTCAAATGGAATCTTCCCCTCCCCAAATGTTAGTAAAAACCATGTAGGGATAACCCAGATTTTCACCCACACTTGACAGTGATAATGTACCCAAACACTGCTCAGAGGTCAGGACTCAACCACCACCACTCAATACTAAGGCCACTGTCCATGTTTTCAATGGAAGCCACTTAGGGAACAGCAACAAGATTCTCCGCTGTACCAGCGTGGAGGTCTAATGAAGAGCTGGTCTTTTTAAGCAGTAGCAAGAACCTCTTTTTCAATCCTCACATCACTGTCATTGGAAACAAAGGACAAAAGCTGGACTTTTATAGTCACCTACTATGAATGAGGTAGCACTCCTTTTATCCATTAGCGCAGTGGTCCTCAACCTTCTTAATGCCGTGACCCTTTAATATAGTTCCTCATGTTGTGGTGACCCCCAACTATAAAATTAGTTTTGTTGCTAATTCATAACTGTAATTTTGCTACTGTTATGAATCGGGCGACCCCCGTGAAAGGGTCGTTTGACACCCCACACACACACAGTGGTCATGACCCACAAGTTGAGAATTGCTGCATTAAAGCAATGTGAAGGGACTTGTTAAAACACTTTTTTTTTACATGATTACATCCAGAACTGTTTAGGCTTCCATTAAAACTCAATTGTCATACTAATAACCAGGAAAATATCTGAGTAAGACAACCAACAGATGCCAATATTGTAAAAACATGTTAGAATTGTCTGACAAAGCTTAGTTCAAGTTGCCTATCCAAAGAGCAATTATAAATATGCATAATACAAACAAGAAAGTCAGTCTCAACAAATAGACATAAAGAACCAGGGGCCAATGTAAAACTAAAAACAGAATAACTGAAATAAAGAACTCAGTGAAGAGGGAATTTGTGAATTTGGAGATTAAAAGGATAGAAAAGACCGATCTGTTAGATACAGAACAGAAAATATGAACCTACCTTAAGGACAGTTTGAACTGTAAGAAGTGCCAGTGATATCCTTGTATCAAGCCAGCCAGCAAGTGAGTACAAAAGAAGAAAGCTATACTGTTTTCCCTAGTGACTATAACCGTAAAACTTGTTAACGAAAATCAACAGTTCGGTAATAAATAGCAATTATTACATACTAGTCAAATAAGGCTGGTTCATTATTTGACAATTAATCAATGTAACCCACCATAATAGTAGGCTACAGAAGACTCACATATCCGTTGGTACAGAAAAACAAAAAAACTCCAACATTGCTGATAAAACCTCTGAAAACTGGAAATAGAGGAACATTTCCTCAACTTGATAAGTATAATAGACCTACAGCTAACAGCATGCTTAAAGTATATATCATAATACTTTGCCTCTATGATTGAGAATGAAGCAAGGATGTCCTTTCTCCAGTGCAGTAAGGCAAGGGGGAAAAAAGGAAGAAATTGAACTGTTTGTAAACTATGGCTATAACCAGTATACAATTTCCTAGACTTACTGTTTTGAAAGGGTAAATAAATGAAATACCTACGATCTAACATGCTTGCTTTTCAAAACACCAGCAAAGATCAAACTCAGTCCATCTCTCTTCCTTATGGCCAGTTATATTTGATCAAAAGGTTAACTTGGTACAAAGTTCAGTTATTAATACTTTGAAAATTACAATACAATACTCAGGTTATTGAACACTTGTAATCTTTTTCCCTACCAAAAGACGATTATATATTGATAATTTTATACTATTTCTTCCGTTGATGACTTAAGTCTTGACTATTGCAAAGTTCCCAATTGCAATGAAATTGAGGTTATCAGACTGCAGGTCCTCATGATTCAGAGTATCCAAAACCTTTAGGATTTATAGGTCGCGTGGAGTTTTAAGTTTACATTTATATTTGTAGTGATAGAGTTTGTGGATTTTTGTTACTCTTTTAATTCTCCTTTCCTAAATCAGTTTTATGCTTTTAACCCCCGCTATCCCACACACCGTCCCCTCCATTCCATAGAGGAAAAAGGAACTTCTATGTGAATGAAAAATTCTACATGAATTTCAATAAAGGACAGAAAGATGAAATAGAAGAGGGACATTGATGAGGAAAACAGAGCTTAAAAGAACTTGATCATAGATATCATATGTAGATTCCCTTGCTGAGATGTAATGCTGTGTGGTGATAATACTATCTTTTTCTCCTTAGGACTACAGAGACATTATTGACACGCCAATGGATTTTGCTACCGTTAGAGAAACTTTAGAGGCTGGAAATTATGAGTCACCAATGGAGTTATGTAAAGATGTCAGACTTATTTTTAGTAATTCCAAAGCATATACACCAAGCAAAAGATCAAGGGTATATGATGAAATTATTCTCTGTTTATGTTACATGGTAATATTAGTAGAAAGTGTGTTATCTAAACATTGCTTTTAGATAAAAAGAAACCAAACTTTATATTATATTCTTAGTAGTGTCTTCATATGTAATAAGGTCACCTGGCCTTAACTCTTCCCATTATTTTCAACATTAATAGAAAAGCATTTATGAGTAATTGCAAAAATTATATACTTGCACACACTATAGGAGAAAGATGAGGTTATATGTTCCCATAATGATTGACAGTCTTGGAAACCCTGTAGAGCAGTCTACTCTATCCTATAGGATTACTGTGGGTCAGTATCAACGCAATGGGTTGGTTGTTTTATATACTCAAACAGCTTCAGAAAGTTAGTGGAAAACTTATTTTTTCATTGGCTTTTTTTTCCCAGAAAATTTTGAAGGCTCCTCATCTGTGTGTACATACATAATCATTTTGTTTTAGCCAGACAGGACATCATAAGGAACAAAGTATGGAAGTGAAATAATGAAGAATATATGAGTTATAAGTAGCCATGGAAGACATTCATAACCCTGAGAGAGAGAATATTAGCTATGATAAATTTCATGAGTAGTTCTTTTAGCCATCTGATTCAGAGTAGGGCTTCCTTTAAGCATGTCAAAGCTTAGAAGATTCCTAACAAACAAAAATTTAATTGTTAAAGTGCTATTTTATGCAAACTTGCTAAATAATACTATATGTTATCTTTACATTGCTGAATGAGCAAGGTTTTGATTTTTTTCTCCCCCTCCTCAGATTTACAGCATGAGTTTGCGACTATCTGCTTTCTTTGAGGAACACATTAGTTCAGTTTTATCCGATTATCAATCTGCTCTTCGTTTTCATAAGAGAAATAAAATCACCAAAAGGAGGAAGAAAAGAAACAGAAGCAGCTCTGTTTCCAGTAGTGTTGCATCAAGGTACTTAATTTCTTTTAGATAACTATGAACTGATCTGTAACTTTGACATCTAAATTATAGAACTTGGTGTTTTTTAATACTTCCTTTACTATTCCCTATATTGCAGAATGATATATTTGACATGCAAGTTCCTATGATGTGGAGGATTTTTAATCTTTTAACTAAACCTATACTAGTGTAAGTGCTTAATTCAAACTGCTAAATCTATACAGTAAACCAGCATTTTTAGGATAGTGACGGCATCATGCTTTCTGTCATATAACTGTAGCATTTACAGCAATCCTTCACTAAATATTCACTTTTCAAAGGCTCACAATCATATGAAATCCACTACAAATCTCATATTTTAACATATTTCATAATAGTACAAATATTGAATCCAACAGTATTTATCAAACCTATTGTCTTTTAATCGTTCACATAGTCTATGTGAATGACTAAGCATATTTTCTTATTTACAGCCCTGAAAGGAAAAAAAGAATCTTGAAACCTCAGCTAAAGTCAGATATTTCTACCTCTCTGTTCTCTACGCCTACACGGTCAATACCACCAAGACAAAATACTGCTCAGATAAACGGTAAAGCAGAATCCAGTTCTATAGTTCGAACCAGAAGCAACCGAGTGGTTGTAGATCCAGTTAACACCGAGCAACCATCTACTTCTTCAGCAGGAAAGAATTTAATTTCAAAAGCAAGTACAGCTGCAATACCAGGGAAAACAAGTAAGACTCAGATACACCTTTTCAATTGAAGCGTTTATAAGGGTTTTTTAAATTTGTTTAGTCTTTTTTTTTTTTGCTTTCGAAATACTTGTAAGAAAACAAGTCGAAGTTTACACATCGCTGTTGTTGAATAATGGTTTTAAAATGACATCTCAGATCTAGAATCCCCAAGTTTAAATCCTAGTGCCCAGACATGCTAGCAGCATGACAGAACGTGTCTCCTAATCTTTACCTGACTAGGCATCTTCTCAACAAGTTGAACTCTTTAAGGAGTTTTTAGTTTTATGTGTCAATTTCCTAAAGTAGCTTTAAGCATCCCCCCAGAATTTTATCAGCTCGCCTACTTTAAGCAGTAAAAATATGCAGAAAGATTTGCTTCTAACTTTATGTTCAAAAATAGTTTAGTTTTTAAAACATTGTATATGTGTATTTTAGTACTGGAGAATTCCATGAAACATTCCAAAATCTTGAATACAAATTCAAGTCCTGCTCAATCCAGTTGTCATGGCACTAGGAATAATTCTGCAAAAGAAAACATGGAAAAGGAAAAGCCAGCCAAGCGTAAAATGAAGTCTTCTGTACTCTCAAAGGGATCTACTCTATCAAAGCCATCAGCCGCCAATGATCAAGGTAAGGTGCTACTGGTGTCTTTCAAAATACCGTAGAACCACCGCCATCAAGTTGATTCACATACATACGGTACTCAATCAGATAGCCTTATCTTTCTCCGGAGGAGCAGCTCGTGGTTTTAAACCAACCTTATAGTTAGCAACCCAGCACTCATTTGGGAGCGCCACCAGGACTCCTTAAATATAGGTCTCTTCAAATGATGTTTTTGTTGGAGTTGGAGTGTAGACCAAATTTGCAGGATGCATATCTAAAATTGACACCTGTTGTATTTATTAATAAAGTTAGTGAGACATTCCTTGATTTGTTGCTCTGTTAAAAGCAAATTTTATTTAAAATATAAGAAATAGCAAGCAGAAAGCAAATGTTTTGAGAACGATGGCAACAAATGTGCTTGACATGATGGATGCATGGATTTTGTTAAGAATTGTATGAGTCCCCAATAAAATAATTTTTAAATAAAAATGAAATAGACTGTGTGTGTGTGTGTGTAATGATTCTAGGTTTGTATTCAATAAATTGTTTCTCGTTTGCTTTTTACAAAACCTGAAAAATAGCATTGAATATTATTTTGGCCTTGCATTTGTCCTGAATTCTAGTGCAACTAAATGTATATCGAGAACTGTTCATATGATTCTAGCATTATAATAAGGGAAGCTCAGTAGCTAATTTGGCTCATAATTTTTGACTTAGCATCTAAGGGTATAAGTATAGAATTGTGATGAACAGCTAATTAACTTGTTAACAATAATTTATTAAATGACTACACCTAAATTAATAGTATGGTGTACAAGAGCAGTTCTGTCCAAAGGAAATATAATGCAAGCCTCATATGCAATTTCAAGTTTCCTAGGAACCCTAATGAAAAGCATCTTAATATATTTTATTAACTCAATTATACCAAAATTACCATTTTATCATGGTAATGTTTTAAATGCACTGCTTTAGTGTTTTTAGAATTTCATTTACTATATTCTGTGTCTCATATACCTTAACTGCTTTAGTTCGTAACCTTTTTACATTATATATTGCTTTGTTAAAGTTAATGTTATAGTCTTTTCCCCAGAAAAATGTACTCATACATAATCCACACAAATTTTAGATAATATCAAAGGTTCCATGGAGTCTTGAAGCCTATATAGTGGATACATTTACTTGATATTTAGACCCTACTCCCATAAACAGTTATAGTCTTGGAAACCCACAGGGACAATTCTATTCTGTTCTATAGGGTCAACTCATTGGCAGTGAAAGTGGGGTTTTGGTTTTGGAAGTCAGTAGTCTGGGTAAAACAAAAAGATTTTCAGGCAATTTGAATGTGATAATTTTGTAGACAATATTTAACTGTTTTAGGAACCCTAGTAGTGTAGTGGTTACAAATCAGGCTGGTAACCACAAGGTTGGCCGTTCAAAACCAAATGCTCCATGGAATGTTAGAGTTAAATTCTAAAAAACTCCCAGGTTCTAAACTGACCTATAAGGATTGCTCTGAGTTAACATTGACTTGGTGACAGTGGTTTTGGTTTGGTTTTGGGAGGAGGGGATGTTTGTTTTACACACATACCCTTTATGGTTAAACCACTATTTTGTACTGTGAGAATTAGGTGAGGGTGTGGCTTTCTCATATAATATTTCATCTTCATGTGTTTCTTGAACATTCTTTGTTTATAATTTAAAGTAAGAAAATTCAAGCCTGGACCTATATCAATCATTTGTCATAGGGATAGGGCTATTTCAAAAAAACCCTGTAAAAATTTTTTTTGGATGGTACAAGAATGTAGTGCTTGACCAAAATGAATTTACTTTACTCTTGTAGATAGGATAGGTGACAATTGTCAGACCAATTATAGGTTTTACAAAGAAAAATTATTATGGCAGAAATATTCTCAAACCTCTTGCTTAGGATGATGGGCGGGAGTGAGGTTCTTTTGTATTTTGAGAATTTAAGAAAAATATTTAGATAATAAATTCTCTGTTGTAAGAGAATCCTGTATTTTTTGGTGTTTCCACACCCCCCCCTTTTTTTATAGTCATAGATAAGTATTTAGGGAAAAATAAAAGGGATGATAAATACCTTACTCAGATTACCAAATTTAGAGATCGTGAGTTTTCAATTAAGAGGGTAGAAATAGAGAAAAACTGTTGAATGAGGTAAACAACAAAGTGCCTTATACTTTTTGAGCTTTATAAAATAAGTGGGGTCGTTTTATGATTTTTTTAAATGTTCATACATAGAATGCTTAGTAAAAGTAGTAGGAATAAGAAACTTTACTTCTGCTGTCATCAGTTTATAGTATTAACTTAGGTTATTTGTTCTCAGCCTCATTTCCCTCACATGTTAAATGATTCTTTGATGATTTCAGGAAGGTTCTTTCTCCTCTGTTAGTCTTAATTAGGAAGTAAGTGAAACGATTAACTGTTGGTGTTTTGTAGGTTCTTTTTTATAAAATGATTTAAGATTATGTCACTAAAACCTTTTCAGTGACTAGATTTGAGGGGAAAACTAAAGCAATTCCATAAATTAAACTGTTCTATTGTGTTCTATTTTAGCAGATTGTAAGAACAGTGCTCTCATACCAGGAAGTATTCAAGTCAATGGTCATGGAGGGCAACCCTCAAAACTTGTAAAGAGGGGACCTGGAAGGAAACCTAAGGTAGAAGTTAATACCATCAACAGTGGTGAAGTTATACACAAGAAAAGGGGTCGGAAGCCCAAAAAGCTTCAGTATGCAAAGCCCGAGAACTCACAGCAAAATAATGTGCATCCCGTCAGAGATGAAGTAGTTCCTTCTTCAACATGCAATTTCCTTTCTGAAACTAATATTATCAAGGAGGATATGTTACAGAAAAAGAGTCGTGGAGGCAGAAAACCCAAAAGGAAGATAAAGGCACAAAAACTAGACTCAGATCTCATTGTTCCTCCAAGTGTTAAAATGTTAAGGAGAAGTAACCGAAAAAAGACAGATGACCCAATGGGAGAGGAAGAAGAATTTGAAGAACTTAAAGGCTCTGAATCTGAACCACACATGAGAACTAGAAACCAAGGTCGAAGGACAGCTTTCTATAATGAGGATGACTCCGAGGAGGAGCAGAGGCAGCTGCTGTTTGAAGACACCTCTTTGACTTTTGGAACTTCTAGCAGAGGACGAGTCCGGAAGTTGACTGAAAAAGCAAAAGCTAATTTAATTGGTTGGTAATTTGTACCAAAATATTTTATTTCAGATCTATAAAGCAGGTACAGTTAAGGAATAAGTAGAACTAAGGCTTCTGCTCCTTGCTGCTATGGTGGATTAAGGAATGTTAGGGTTTGATTTGCAAAAAACAAACTTACAAGACACTTCACTTCTTTAAATGAATATATATATAAATATATACATATATATTTTAAATGTTTGCTATTTATTGCCCTTAGATAGGTTATGCATTTCAACATTTTGTTCACTGTTTGAGAAAAAAAATTGAGAACCTGTAATGAAGTCCTGATTTATTTATGGAAAAGACGGTTCTACTACACTCATATTCCTAGTGAAAGCATTTCATCTTAAAAGTGAATATTTATTTTGAGCAAGCAAGGTACATTTCTGTTGATACAGAAGTCGTGCCCCTAGGAAGTCGGATGTTACAGAGTAGCAGTAAATAAGAAATGTGTATCCAGCAAAATAAATTCCCAACATTTGATACCCTAAAAAGTTTAATTTTAATTATGGAATCTAGAGGAGGCTTTTGCTTTATTCCATTTCTGCCAAACGTAAGAGAAAATGTACTGATGAAAAGGAAACATATCCACATTGGAAATCATTTGTCTAATTTTTCAGACCTTGATTCTTATATCGATCACTCAATCTCTGTTTATTGTGCCAAAGACTGAGAATCAGTGCAGTGAAAAGCCTGTTTTTGACTGTCAGGACAACATAAAATTTTCAGTACTGGAAAAGGCTATATATTATTCTACAGAGCGACTTATTAAGAGAGTTATGCTGAGATGTATCTTTTTTGGTACTAATAGTGAAAGATAATGCACTGGTGGGTCCTTTGACAGAGATGTTATAGAGAAAATGTTTAAGTGGTTAAAGGATTCAAGGAAAATACAGGAAAAAGGTATGGGATTTGATGTTTACCTATCAATTTGGATTAATGTCATTTCTAAATTTTTGTCAGCTCTAATAAGTTAAAATGAATTACGAAGAAATGTGTCTGTGTATGTGTATATATATTGATAAATGGGTATAATTATATATACAAACACATACTTATATACTATTACCCAGGTATAAATTCTTTTTTCAGGATTTTTTTAGATAGTGCTAGAATAAAAATTTTAAATTGTCATACTTTATAGTTTAATTTTAAGGGGAAGATTGGTTATTTTCCATTATAAAAGGTTAAAATAGGCCAAATCACTTTTTATGCAATCATGTTTTATACAGTGGTCTCATTGCACATTGTGTTTTTTCTGCACTTTTTACGGTATCCTTATCACGCTGGTATGTCAGTATACACCCTAAAGAAAAATTCCATTTAATGATTGTGCCTTGTATTCTATTATTTTTGTTTGCATCATTAGAAAAATTAAGTTGTCTATTGTAAATGATAACTATATGACTTAGGAGAATGTATTGCTATATGTACTGCCCTGGAAAAGGAAAGCAGTTATTTATTTGTTTATGGTACATTTAGTTATTTTATACCTTAAAAACCAACATAAATACCACTTCGATTGTTTAAAAATTGTCCAATTTTTAAAGGTTTAAAGAATGTAGTATTTTCTGAGGACTGCTATGGTACAAAAATGTAACCAAAATTTTCAGATACTACATTTTCAAAAGTGAGGATGGGAAATTATGTATCAGCATGACCACCATATAGAAAAATAAAGACTTTAACATTGAACCCTGGCAAACTACATTACATAATTATTTCTTATTTATGGCAAGGGTAAATATTAGGTGTCATTTAATTGTCTTAAAGAAGAATGGAAAGTGATCATTTGGGCTTTTTAGATCATTTGTAACCAAATTTGTACAGAAATCCTATGAAATTAAGTAAATTCTTTCCAGGGTTGAATGGATTGCTGTGCTTTTACAGTTGAAAAATATAATTCAAAGTTTTAAGGGGTTTTGTTTTTATCCATTTTGTATATTTATTTTTTTCTAACAAAATATTTAACTACAGTTAAAATTCAGTAGCTAAACTTTTATGCAGATATGGATGGCCTGGTTGTATAGTATAATGAGTCAATTATACCATTGAAAATAATAGTATGTATGTTTGAAATTTAAGTCACTTATAGCTTTTGAGGGCAATCTACGTATTTGAAATATTAAATTTCCTGATGTTGTCTGCATTACATTAGAGAACTTAAGACTATTAAATCCATTTTTATTAAAAAATTCTAGTTTTAAAGTGTGCACAGAGAAAGGAAAAGCATACAGTGTTTGAGTGATATACCTCTAATACGGTGTATGTATTATTTCTAACTCTTGAGCAAGGAAAAAAAAGATTTAACATCTTCCTGCAACAAGTAAATATTATTCCTGTTCTAAAGACACTAAGTTTTACCTTATTTGAATATTATTAGATATTGTGTTTCTTAAAGTGAAAATGACATGGATCACATTCTTTGAAATTGAAATACTTGATGTATTAATGCTTTACGAGATATATTTAAGAGTCTATTTTTATAACAAATCCTATACATTGCAAAAGTTGACTTAGGATTCAAAGGCTTCACCATAATCATTGTTTTGCTGTACCACTTAGAAACAATGCACTTCTCTAATACAGAAACACCATGTGTGTATTGTTTATACACCAAAAGGAAATGTTGGCAGTTCTCCTAGATAAACAGTAAGAAAAAAATCTCAATTTATTGAAATTTTAATAAGTAGAACTTCTTACATGAAAGAAAACTAAAAAAGAAAAGAAAAGAAAACTATAAATCAGTCTTTATATTATCCACCTTACCCTCCTTCCAACCCCCAGTTTAAAGCCCCAAATGATTCTTGGAAGTTTTCCATACAAATCAAATATTTAAAATTAACTATCTGAGTGCTCAGTCTCTTTATAGTCCAGTATACTGGACTAGAGAGACTGTAGAACATTTGGGGCCTTGATAAAGTCATATCTGAGACTTTGAAATCAATTACGTTAGAATCACTGATAAGTGAAGGAGGAGGTCTCTGTGCAGTATGTATACCGTGCAGAGTATGTGTGCCGTGCAGAGCAGCAGTGGTCACATGTTTTAAATTTTTATTTGTAATTTTAGCAGCATTTTAACTTTAATTCTGACACACACACTCCTACCCTTCTCCAATGTCAGTTTGAAGCTAGAAGCTATTCCAAGTTTTTAGCTGATCTAATGAAAACAAATTTAACTCTTCTTATCTGGACTTTAAGTTGAAAAGACCAAGATACTTGAGTAACTGAAGTGTTACAGAAATTATTGAAAAGTATTCCTAACATAACAGGATGAACAGTGAATTTAGTTACATTAGGTGAGCATTTTTTCTATTAAGATTGGAAAAAGATATTTTCCTTGTTTTCCTCCTTAGACTCCCCTCCAGCCTGTCACATTTCCAAGCATTTTTGAACTAAAGTTACCAAGTTTGCTAAGAACACTCCATCCCCTCAACTATACCAAGCCAAAAACTACAAATGAAAAATCAGTATCTAAGAAGAGGTCAGATTGAGTCAGAAGATACCCCACTGGCGCTTTAGAGATAAACCTTGTACACACTTTGTAAAGCAGCAAGTAGAAAATATTATGACCTATGAATACTTGTTTTTAGTTTTGATAGCTTTGTGTTGAAATACTATGTTAATGCAGATAAGATCATCAGGAAATTAACCTTATATGGCACAAACCAAATACACAGTAGTGGATGGTTGAGTTTCTCCATTTAAGAAACTAAGAAAAAAGTTCAAGATGGTATTTATGTACACGCATATAAGGCATGCACACATGCTGGTTAAAGTTGTGGGTGTTGATTTATCACAATGATAAAAACTTTGAAATTATACAAAAGTTACATTTTTGGACCATATTAAAACTACAAGAAGACAGGAATATAATTAAAGATCTTTTTAGACTACTTAAATCCTGTCACATAATATTTAGACACGTGTAGAATGTAGTTCACTTTTTAAAAAGTAACTGACCTAGAGGGTTAATACTGAAACTGACACATTTTCAAATTAAAATTATGCTTATTTTGTACAGAAAATGTTAAAACGCAAGCAGATCTGTTGTATGTAATAAGTAACAGAGTTTAAAAACAAATTAATTATTTAGCTTTATTGAAGGTTTTTTTTTCCCTTCCAGACACCTGGAATTTCATATGTTATAAATGGCAGTCTCACACCAAGATAGCAGTGCCCATTCTTTTTGTACATATTGATTGGACCTTTCTTTACTGTAATGTGGACACTTTCTATGTTAGTTTTTGATGCATAATTCTTTGAATCCTTTTATACAAACTAGAATGTATGTGTAAGAACTGTCCCCTCAATGTAGTAACTACAAACTTATTTTTAAATAAATAGAAAACTTGTTTTTCTAAGCTGCTTTGTTAGAGCCTCATGATTACTTTTCTTTTGGGGGTTTGGTTTTTGTGAAAGCGCTCCTTAAATAATTTGAACAGGCACTTAGCACTAAAAACTTAAGCACTAAATAGTGCTTAATTATTGGCCTAGCCAAAGATTGGCAGTTCAAACCCATTCTAAGATGCCTTGCAAGTGAAGCCCTAATCTACTTCAAAAAAAGTAGCACCTTGAAAATCCTGTGGAGGGCAGTTCTTAGCACATGGGGTCATCATGAATGGAAATCTGGCTGGTAAAGTAATTTGCATTTATGTGTTCACTTAAGACAATGTTATTGATTTATTAGTAGGTACATTTTATGGTAAAGAGTGATAAATACTTGGATATTTAGATGTTTTTAAGAATATTTTCAGAGGAATACTATATAGTAGTTTCACTTGTAAAGGCAGTAAGTAGTACAGATAGTGAGACTTATAACATGATTGCTGTTTTCCTAATCATTTTATTGGGGGCTCATACAACTCTTATCACAAACCATACCTTCAAAGAATCCCAATTTAGTGTAAAAATAATATGAATACAAATACTTCAAATGTAAGCACATGAAGAGGTAATTTCTGAACATGTGCTGTTAATGGCAATGGGAGGGGTGGAGGAGAAGGATGGAACCCAACTCACTACCATTAGGTTGAAGCAACCATATGTAAATCTGTGAAAGAAATTACTAAATTGAGGAAAGGCAAACATCCCCTTAGCTTTTTCCTTCTAAAAGTATGCTGGCACTGGAAGCCACAAAAAGTCCAGGGACAGACAGACAGCTTCACTGGTGAACCCTATTAAACATTCAAGGAGTAGCTGACACCAAGTCTCAAATGATTTGAGTAGAGAAAGGGATAGGAAACTTCCGAATTCATTTTATGAAGTATATCCTTGAACCCTCAAACCCACCTGAAGATAATTGGACAGCCCCTCATGGTAGGGATGTTAAGTCCAGAATGCAGCATAGCACCGATAGAACTCTAGTTCTTTACTATTTCCTCCCCTCATTATTATGGTTCTTGTCATACCTCATTAACCTAGGTAAACATGAGTATGCTCATGTGAATAATTAAGATCATATGATGCATGAAAGATAACCCTTCAGAGACAGTACTATGAGTAACAGTTCTCTGAGAAGAAAGGGTAGAAGAGGGGGAGCTGATGACTAATCCCACTAGAGGGGAACAAATTACAGAATTGTAGGTGAATGGATAGTGAATGGTAAGATAACTTATAAGTCATCCTTGGGGGTAGGGGAAGGCGAGGATAAAGGGGAACTGATAGCAACGAGTTCAAGAAGAATGAAAACTTGTAGAAACTGATGGTGAAAAACATTGCAAAGCATGTTGATGTAGTTGAATTACAAATTGTTAAAAGAGCTTACAAAATTATTAAAAATAGAATTGAACTGTATATGTATACATATATAAATATATACATATAAATGAGAGGGGTGTACCCAAAACTGGAAAAACTTTTTTTTAAATCATTTTATTAGGGCCTCATACAACTCATCACAATCCATACATACATCAATTGTGTAAAGCACATTTGTACATTCATTGCCCTCATCATTCTCAAAACATTTGCTCTCCACTTAAGTCCCCAGCATCAGGTCCTCATTTTTTCCCCTCCCTCTCCACTCCCCCCTCCCTCATCAGCCCTTGATAATTTATAAATTATTATTTTGTCATTATCTTGCCCTGTGCGACGTCTCCCTTCACTCACTTTTCCGTTGTCCATCCCCCAGGGAGGTGGTCACATATAGATCCTTGTAATCGGTTCCCTCTTTCCAACCCACTCTCCCTGTACCCTACCAGTATTGCTACTCACACCACTGGTCCTGATAGGATCATCTGCCCTGGATTCCCTGTGTTTCCAGTTCCTATCTGTACCAGTGTACATCCTCTGGTCTAGCCAGACTTGTAGAATTCTGATCATGATGGGGGGGGCGGGGAGGGAAGCATTTAGGAACTAGAGGAACATTGTATTATTTATTTCATTGTTGCTACATTGCCCCCTGACTGGCTCATCTCCCCGAAGCCTCTCTGCAAGGGGATCTCCAGTGGCCTATAAATGGACTTTGGGTCTCCACTCCGCACTCCCCCCATCATTCACTATGGTAAGATTTTTTTGTTCTAATGATGCCTTATACCTGATCTCTTCGACACCTCGTGATTACACAGGCTGATGTGTTCTTCCATGTGGGTTTCTGTAAGGGGGCGTCCGTTGCCTAGAGATGGGCTTTGGGTCTCCACTCTGCACTCCCCCCCTCATTTACAATGACAACGGTTTTTTGGTTCTTTGATGCCTGATACCTGATCCCTTTGACACCTCGTGGTCACATAGGCTGGTGTGCTTCCATGTGGGCTTTGTTGCTTCTGAGCTAGATGGCCACTTGTTTATCTTCAGGCGTTTAAGACCTCAGATGCTATATCTTTTGATAGCCAGGCACTATCTCTTTCTTCACCACCTTTGCTTATGCACACATTGGTCTTCAGTGATCGTGTTGGGAAGGTATGCATCATGGAATGCCATTTTAATAGAACAGAGGGTTCTTGCATTGATTAAGTACTTGAGTGGAGACCCAGTGTCCCTCTGCTGCCTTAATACTAAATCTGGAAATATATGCACGTAGATCTATTTCCCCACCATCTTATATATTTACATATGTACGTGCCTGTATTTAGACCTCTAAGTGTCCCTTGCCTCCTAGTTCTTTCCTCTATTTCCGTTTACTTTCCTCTTGGCCCACTATCATGCTCAGCCTTCATTTGGGTTTCAGTAATTTCTCTCGGTTACTTTGCCCTTGCTGAATCTGTACCAGCCCTCCCACACCCTCCTTGCCACTAATTTTGGGTCACTTGTTGCTCCCTTGTCCCTGGGTTGGTCAACATCACCTCCTTTCCCCTGCCTCCGCCTCTCCCATGTTCACCCCGGAACCATCCATCGGTGTCATTGTTTTCTCCTCCAGACTGTTCATCCAGCCTATCTTACCTAGATCAATCTACAGAGATAATATGCACCAAAAAGCAAGGATAGCAAGGCAAAGCGACAAAAGAGAACACTGATGACAACAAAAAGAAAACCAATGACCCAGAAAAGAATGAAGAAAAACCTGGTAATAGATCAAGGTCTGATTTCTGACAAGTGGAGTGTTGGAAGCACTAGAGGAATATGGCAGAGTGGCAGGATACAAGATCAACAAACAATTCTATCGGACTGCTCTACACATCCTACCCATCAGACAAGATTACAGAAGAGACAATTAAAAAGATAGTACCCTTGACAATAGCCAAGCACAAATTGAAATATCTAGGGATATACCGGACTAAAAAAATGAAAGATTTCTATGAAGAAAATTATAAAACACTACTATAAGAAACCGAGTGACCTCAAGAAATAGAAGAATATCCCATGCTTGTGGATTGGCAGACAATATAGTAGGATGTCAGTTCTGCCCAAAGCACTATAGAAGTTCAATGTTATCCTGATACAAATACCACCATCCTTCTTCAAAGAATTGGGAAAACTGGTTACCAAGTTCATATAGAGGAGGAAGGAGCCCAGAATTAGAGAACTCCTCAAAAAGAAGGACAGAGTGGGAGGGCTTGTTCTACCTGGCTTTAGCATATATTGTATGGCCACAGTAGTCAAAACAGAGTGGTACTGGTTTAATGACAGATATTCAGACCAATGGAAAAGAGCTGAAGACCCAGAAATAAAAACATCAGCATACAGGCAACTGATCTTTGGTGAGGGCCCCAAAAATATTAAATGGGAAGCAGATGCCATCTTCAATAAATGGTGCTGGAAAAAATGGATATCTACCTGCAGAAAAATGAAGCAAGACTTACTTCCATGTGCAAGAATAAACTCAAGGTGATCACAGTTCTTGAGATAAAACCCAAAACAATTAGGGCCATTAATGAGGGAACTGGGACAAATCTGAACCTTGGCACAGGGAATACATAAGCTATCAGAAATTGGGAAGGATGCAAATACAGAGGAGTCACAAAAAGACAAGTGGGATATACTGAAGATTAAGTCACCTGTGTACATCAAAAGAATTCACCAAGAGGGTAATAAGAGAGCCCACCAACTGGGAAAACATCTTTAGCAATGACACATCAGACAAAGGCCTTATTACTAAAATCTACAATACTCTGCTAGCTTACAATAAGAGAAAAACTAATTGCCCACTGAGGAGGTAGGCAAAGGACCTGAACAGAAGTTTCAGAGTCTGAAATCCAAATGGCCAACAAACA